TCTCTTTCTCATTCTCTTTTTCTCTTTGTCTTATTCTGTCTCTCTCTCTCTGTGTGTCTTATTCTCTCTCTTTTTCTTTCTGTCTTATTCTCCCTCTCATTCTTTTTCTCTTTCTGTCTTATTCTGTCTCCATCTCTCTCTCTTTCTCTCCCTCATTCTCTTTTTCTCTCTCTTTCTCTGTCTTATTCTCTCTTGCTCTTTCTGTCTAATTCTCTCTCTCTCCATCTCTTTCTCTTTCATTCTTTTTATCATTCTCTTTCTTTGTCTTAGTATCTCTCTCTTTCTCACTCATTCTGTCTCTTTTACTCTTTCTCTTTCATATTCTATTTCTCTCCATCTCTCTTTCTCATTTTCTTTTTCCCTTTTTCTACCTTTCTTTCTCTGTTTTATTTGTCTCTCCGTATCTCTCTCGCTCACTCGCTCACTCTCTTTCTCTGTCTTATTCTCTCTCTCTTTCATAATTTTTTAGCAGAAACAAATAAAAAGGTAGGAAAATTAAATCAATCTATGCAAGACCCTGGCCCCATGAGCATAGAACATAATAACAGAGGAAAATTCCTGGGATGAGGTGGAAAAATCTAAGACAGAAGGAAGAAGTGTTCAAGAATGATCACGTTTGTTATCTCTTTGAGGGATTCTCTTGTTTTTCTTAACCTGCATTTTCAAATATGCAGATCTGGATGTCTCAGTTCTCAGGATTTTAAAACAAAGTTCTCAGACAGTCAGGAGCACCTAGAGGCTCAGAGAGAGATGGGTTTGGAGATAAGCTGTCTTTAGAGATTTATCTGTTGAGAGAACATACAGGTAGGAATGTGCAATTTTGGAGAAGGTGTATTCATGATGAACTGTCCCTCTGGTCTCCTCCTGCAGATCCTGTCCCCACTTTCCGATGCCATCTTGGCGGAGAAGACAGTGACGGTCCTGGATGAGAAGGTGACCATCACTGACCTGGGCGTCCAACTGGTATCAGGGCTCTCGCTCTCGTTACAGCTGAGCACCGGAAGCAACAGAGCCATCTTCGCTACAGCAATCGCCCACGAAGTGCTTCAAGCAGAAAAGCAGGTAGCAGCCTCCTTTCTGAAGTTCCTTTTCTCCAGGTTGGGCCTCCAGGCATCCTGTCTGAGCACGGCGGGGTTCACCTTTCTTTCTAAAACATAAGCAATTACTTCTCAATTGATGCTTTGGCAAACCAGAGGTGAACGCGGGGTGCAGTGTTTTAAAGGACCCTATGAAACCACAGGCAGCCAAATGGAGAACCAAGCAGTGTTGTTAATGTCTGTTTCATCCTTATCCTCTTCCACTTCATTTTCTTTCCCTCCCTCCCTTCTTTCTTTCCTTGCTCCCTCCCTCCATTGCCCTTCCTTCCTTCCTTCCTTCCTTCCTCCATCTTTTCCTTCCTGTTTTCTCTCTTCCCTTCCTCATTCATTGCTTCCCTCCCCTTCTCCATTATCCCTTCCCCATTCATCCCTTCCCTTCCTTTCCCCATTCACCCTTTTCCTCCCATCCCTCCCTTTCCTTTCCCTTCTTTTCCCCATTCATCCCTTCCCTTTCCCCTCCCCTTCCCCTCCCCTTCTTTTCCCCAGTGTTTCCCCTCTTCCTCCCCCAATAATATTATTCTTCTGCTTCAACTCTCTTCCTTCAGTCCTGTTAGTTTATCTCCTCCTTCCTCCTCTTCATCAACATCTCCCATAATCTCACTCTGACAATATACCACTCATCATAAAGACTTGTGCCCACCGAGACCCCCCCCAAAGTTTCCAAACGGAGGAAACAACCTTCTGGGAAATAAAATTGGGTAAATGGGAACAAAAGGCACCCCCCACAGAGAGAGAGAGAGTGGGGGAGAGAGAGAGAAAGAGCGCAGATGCCAAACCTTCAGCGGTCCTTGCCAACAGTCCACCATTTTCCAGATCTGCCTTTCCTGCCTTCTCTTGCCAACTGAGCAGGTGAACTGGCACTGGTGTCCTTGTGGAATTGTTAGTATTATTCTAAAAGGACATTTTAGATTTATAGGTGCTCATCTCTGAAGGCCACCCAACTTCTAAATAGAGAAGCATTGTTCCACTCAATCGGGCGGTAAAACTAGAGCAAGCCCAGGGTGGAAAAAATATGTATTTTTTTTCCCCTTCTTCTTCTTCTGGTAACCTCTCATAAATAATAGAGCATCCCACTGGTCACCTGCCAAAAATACATGTTTTGGGGAAGAAGGTTATATTGCAAATCTAGCTGTTCCTTAACCTTGGCGGTCCTTCATTTTTTATGTATATAATTTTTATTAAAGATGTTTTTTGAAAGAAGAAAAACACCCCAATATAAATTAATTATATAGCCAAAAAAAGAAAAGGAAAAGAAAGCTCCAAGTGCAAGAAAGAGGAAAAAAGGAAAAAGGAGAACAGCTACAAAGGAGCAACGTGCAATATATTCTTTATGGCAAGTTATAAGTCCAGTTATCAATTTATCCCTTCCTCGGTGGTTATAACATCCCTCTCCTTTTTATAATCTATCCTGTCTGATCATCCCAACCATAAATCGTATGTTCATTCTTTTCTGTTTTTCACAGCAAAGAAAAAAAAGTCTAGAAAGGATTTCAGTCAGCAATAAATGTAGATATTGTCTTTTTCTCTGATTAAAGGAATCAATTTAGCCATTTCAGCAAATTCTGTCATTTTCACCTTGTTGGTCCTTCAGCATGGATGCCATCCAGATGTGATTTTGCCTGCCTGGTGGTGTTGGGGAGATGGATAAAATAGCGCTGGAGGTGGGAGAGTGGGGTGGGGGAGAAAGATGGATAGAGAGAGCAAATACTACTACTATAAAGCCTTAGTAAGACCTCACTTGGAATCCTGCATCCAGTTTTGGTCACCACAGTATAAAAAGACTCTAGAAAAAATGCAGACAAGAGCAACCAGGATGATAAAAACTGGAGGATAAAACCTACGATGAATGGTTGCAGGAACTCGGCATGGCTGGTCTAGGGAAGAGAAGGACCAGGGGAGACAGGAGAGCATCTTCCAATATTTGAGGGGCTGCCACAGAGAGGAGGAAGGGGTCAAGCTATTTTCTAAAGCACTCAAAGGCCAGACAAGGAACAATGGATGGAAACTGACCAAATTTCTGACAGTGAGAACAATCAACCCATGGAACAGAAGTTGCCTTCAGAAGTTGTGGGAGCTTCAACACTGAAGGCTTTCAAGAAGAGACTGGACTGCCATCTGTCAGAAATTCTGTAGGGTCTCCTGCTTGGGTGGGGAGTTGGACTAGATGACCTACAAGGTCCCTTCCAACTCTGTTAATCTGTAAACTGTAAAATTGTTCTCCCTCTTGTGTGGTTGTTCATCTTGAGATCATCAGCTAAATGCCCAAAGCTACAGGACTCAACCTGCCATTAGTAGAATTGATCATGGCCATCAATTTATAGAGGGTTTCAAAAGAGACTTTGAGCTGGGCGGGGTAGCAGAAGGTCAAGCTACAAGACTGTGTGTCTTGGGCCCAGCAATTGGGGGCCATATTTGGAATATTTGGGGGGGAAATATTGCTTTTGGAGCAATGCTTCATTTCTGAACACGCTAAATATACCTGATTGCCCAATGTAAGAATGGAGTGGAAGTGTTTGTGGCTTTAGGGTCCTTCTCAGTTTTTTTTCCTTTTTCCTTTTCTCATTTTTCTAGCGTTAAGTTCATTTTGCTCCATGTCTGCATTGGGGGTCCTTGGTTCTCTCTGAGCTTGGTGGTTTGCTTGCAGACATTTCATTACTCAAACTAGGTCACATCATCATGTTTGGTCATGTAACTTCTGCAAGAAGACAGACAAAGTCAGGGAGTACCAAGGACCCCACAGTCCTCCTCCTCCTCCTCCTCAATTCTGCAAATCCCACTCCTTTCTAGTACTCATGATATTCCCTATTTGGATAATGAAACGTCTGCAAGAAAACCACCAAACTCAGAGAGCACCCAGACACACGGGCCTCCTCCTCCTCCCCCTCCCCCTCCTCTTCCCCCTCCTCCTCCTCCCTTCTAGTACTGATGACATTCCCTAGTAGGGTCAAGAAATGTCTACAAGAAAACAACCGAGCTCAGAGAACACCAAGGACCCCTCATTCCAACCCTGAGCTACAAATATTCTCCTTTTTATAAGATCTGCATTAGTTTTTTGTTTTTCTAAAAAGGAGCTCCATCGTTTAGCTCAGTTGCCGCAGAATGTGCAGGGACAATTGGAGAAGAAAAATGGAAAGGAAAGAGGAGACATTGGAACAAAAATACAGTAACTTTAAGGACTGCTGGAGATGCAGCTTCTAACATGGTCCCAGAGGGACATTATTATTAACCAACAGGGAAGTTAAAAATAAAGTGCCCATCTATCTATCTATCTATCTATCTATCTATCTATCTATCTATCTATC